ATTTCCACGCTTTAAACATTTCCTTCTGAAGAAATCTGCACGAAACAGCACACTGTGTGTACTTAAGTCTGGGGCTTTTTGGCTTCCTGCTCACGCCGGTGCACATCTGCCCCATCCAACAGAACACAGCGTGAACATATTAGGAATAAAGATTTTCACGTTACTCTGTGACACAGCTCATTTGAACAGCTCTGCTTTGCCTCTTTGCTTGACCATCTGCACAACAGAAGGAATAAGAGAGCACCTACAGTGGTTAAGATACGCGATGGAATAGTAACCAATTTCTGAAATGAGAATGAGAAAGCCTATTGAAACATCCAGCAATAACCCTGGAAGAAAAGGCATGTCAAAAGGAGAAAGGAAAAAAAAAACCAACACCAAAAATCCCAAACCCTACACCCAATAGAAAGGAACAGAACGACCTGAAAGCTGCAGCATCAGCTCTGGGAGTCCCCAGGGTGAGCAGCAGAAATGATAGCAGAGATGGGTAATGCCATTTGTATTCTTCGTGACACCTCCCTCGGATATTTGCCCAGATAAATTTAATAAAATACTGTGTTGAACTACTCTTTACTACCGTATTTATTAACTCTTCTATAAACCCCTCCGGACAAGCGTGTATACCCACCAGCAGCATTTAGGCAAACCATTATAGTCCAGAAGCAGAGCCCAACCTGTAAACTCTGTATTAAAAAAAAAAAAGGTCAGGAAAGCTGTACTGTATCAACAGCTTCTCAGGGTAGAAGCCATTAAGGGAAGCTTTGTGTGGAAAAAAAGGAAGTCTTGTAAAGATAAGCAGCTTTCAGCTCAAGCCATTCCAAACACGTTGCAGAGAGGACTCGCGCGGACATTGCCAAGTAACACTCCAGCAGCCCGTGCTCCAACAGTCCCTCCCCGGGCCAAGGCAGGTAGCCTGCTCACTGCTGTAGCTGCTGGCCTTATCCCTCCCACAAAGATCACCATCAGGTTTTCTCTATCAAAAAGAAACTGCATTTCAGAATTCAGAAATCCCTTTTCCCATTTTCCACTTGATGATCAACCCGAACCGATGGGAGTATGCGCTGGAAGTCCGAAGCACCAACACAGCATCACGAGTTTCTAACACAGGGCTGGCAGCAAAAGGGCTGGCAACAGAAAGAGGAAGGCTCCATCCTACCAGAAATTTATTAGAGGAATGAGGGATAAGGGAACAAAAGCCAGATGGCTCCCACGCTCCACAGCCACAAATGAAAAAGGTAAAAGAAATCACCGGGCTGAAAACGCTCAGAAGGGAAAGGCTACAGCATCTGGAGCTGAGCTGACACGGCAAGTTACACCATTTGCGTAAGTCCACCACAGTATTTTAGCAAGATGGTTGAGAGTACAGAGAATTTAGGAACTGAAAATAAAAGTCTCAACAAGACATTAAGCTCACAGCTACTGTCATACCACACACAAAATGCCGACCTATAAATAACAGCAGGAGAATTACCTACAACCGTGTTAGAATTAGAGGAGAAGCAGGGAGCTGAAGGAGATTAAAAGGAACAGAAGAAGAATGCCCTCCCTCCCCAAGAAAGAAAAATGCATCACCCCCTCAGTGGTGGGAACTGGGGGGAAACGTTGCCTTTGGGTCCTCAGAGAGCCACTTCCCCAGAGGAAAGCAGGAGGCATGCTCATTTAAAAAAAAAAAACAACAAAAAAACAACAAACCAAACCATATATAAGTCTCAACAACCACCAAGGGCAACAGCACATCGCTAAAGAGTTGGGTAAGAAAAATACAGGCACCAGCATCTGTTTCAAGCTTTTATTAAAAAAGACCCAGAATTCACAAGTCTACAAGGAATCATAAACCAGCTTGTATCAACCCGTCTCGGAGCTGATAGCGTTCGGTTCGCCAAGGGAGCACGGAAAGCAGCAATAAACCCGATCACAGGTCAGCGCACCGCTCCCCTGCGGCAGTAAGCTCGGCCTAGTTCACAACCTGCAACTTGATGTTCCTAGATTGCTCTTCAGAATACAAAACTATTAACCAAAATAGTCCTGGCTTAGTCCTTCAGGAAGATAAAAATCCCCACGGGAAAATATCTTTAAAAAAAAAAAAATATAAAACCTTAAGACTGTGAGTTCCACAAGGTCTGCTTAAATTACTGTAGGCAAAAAAAAAATAAAATATTACAGGTATAATGTAACATTTTTATTGTAACAAACTACTTTCTCTGCAGTCAAGCAATTCATCAAAGGCTCTTAAGCGTTTTGTGGCGCACAAGGACTCCCTGAAGTCAGCCAAGGAAAGCTCACTCACCCCTGTGCACCTTCAGCTCTACTTGTATAGCAGCACCTAGTGCTCCAGCAAGCCAGATGCTCTTGCCTTTTAAAGTAAGATTAGCTTAGTTTAGGACTAGTTTGCCCAATTACATATGCCAGCCTCTGTGAGTAATAAAAAGCAGCACTCCGCAGGAGTTCCTAGGAACCAGCTATTCAGCAACAAGCCTTCCACTGAAATTATGGGAAAGCATTAAGTTTCATTAAGAAATTGAACACCACGTCCCCCACTGAAAGCTAAACTTCAGTTCCTGCATTTGTTTTCATTGGTTTTAGTCAGAACCTCTTAAAAACACATTATTTTTCACATTGATCGGGACTTACACGAGGTTATTGCTAAGCCTGTGATCTAGTGTAAAATTCCAGGGCTAGCACTTTCTGAACTGTAACACTGAGATTGTATAGTTTAGTTTCCTCCGAAATATTTGCTCGGACCAAAATAAAAAGGTATTCTTTCCTCACGTTCTTCTAGAAGAAAAAAAAAAAAAAGCAGCAGACCACTTCCATCGTGGTAACGAAGCTGCCCCCCCTGAGAGGCTCAATAACCCGTACCTACACCAAGGCTCATTTCACAGCAATTACTGAAACAAAGCTCTCACGTTTCCGACATCGTTGCGTCGTGAGATCAAGTCTCACCTATTGACTCCAGCGACTCACTGAGCATTTTAGAGAGGAGGGTCTAGCACGTAGCTCATGGGTTCAAATAAACGGGCGGGTGGTGGTTCTTCAGCATCTGTGTTATTTACCCACGGTGCAGAGGGGGAGCTTAAGCCAAGTATTTTAAAAATAGGATCTGTGCTTCCAGGAAAGTATGGTGCATCATTCTGCTTTTGCTGGAGGAGTTGTCAGTGCTGGAAACAAAGTTTTGTGAACTTCAGTGTATTTCTGCTTTGGCAAGTGGGGCAAGAGGCTATTTCAACATGCTTCTGTGTACCATTGTCGATAAATAGGAAGAGTAATTATCTGGTAGCTGCAAAAAAAAAAAAATTAAAAAAAAAAATATCACGCATCGTCATAAGCCCACTCCTCAACTTATTTGGTTTGACAGCCATTGATTCATTTTCTTCATTAGATTTTTAATTACCATTGGTGAGACTTCATTTTCTGAGAACAAGCACACACTTAGCATTTTAAATCAGAGGTTGATTTGCTGGCTCTGTCAAAGAGCGAGCCAAGCGCTTAAAATAAACACCTCATTGTTCTATTCTTAGTTATGAAACCCTCTACTTTGTTACTAATACCTGAGCTCCTAGTTTGGAGAGGTATTTATTCCTTAAACTAAAGTCATCAGCTTTTGGCCGTAATTTAGCCAAGTCATCTTCATTTTGACGTCTGAGTCTCTCTTGTTCTTCCGCTCTGGAAAAGAAAATTGGTTTAAGATATTTGCACCGAGGAGCGCAAACCCAAGCAACTCTCATCTTGTGTATGCAGTTTTATTTTTAATACCTCGTAAATGCTTGTAATGTTTACAGATGAATACTGGATATCAGATTAAAAGAGACTAAAATGTGTATCGATTAATTCAGTGCAAAGAAAGAGCGAGGCTGTTTTCTGCAGTTTCCTTTTATTTAGATTGCAAGACTTCGGTAGAAAGATAAACCTTTTGGTTTTTCAGACATTACAAACATGCTCAGTGAGCTTCTGTAACAACTTTTACTCTCTCTTTATTAAACAAGCTTTCACTCCTTAAAAATAAAGATTACAATACAAGAAGAATCAATTGTCAAAAATGCAGATAAAAAGACTGCTCAGCAGTCTGCAGAATTAATAGCGGTCTCCTACAAAAGAGTCAATATTTGACCAGAGCACCGTGGCTCGCTCTTAAAGAAAAACTCTAAATATACTTAATTTAAGACAGTGGTTTGCATTAGGACAGTGACAAAGGCAGTAACAGCGACCCGTTTCCACGCTCTGTAAGGCCGTGAGCCTTACTCCAGAACACAAAATGCCGTTATATTGTCTCCACCCCCCACCACCACGGCGGTGCCGCACGTAAAAGACACTTTCTGTAAGTCTTTATCGTGTTTGTCTCAGCTTGCAGAGCACCCTCTCCAATGACAGAGTGCAAACACAGTGCAAAATGCTATAAACCCATTCTGTCCCGATCGAGAGATCATTTGGCATTAGTTAAAAGTGGTTACAAAGCGTAAAATTTAGCCATTTACTGTAAAACACACCCCCCCCCCAGCATGTTAGGCTCTTTTCCAAAGAACTACTGTGCAGAGTGACCGAACTAAACACTACAATTCTTCAAGTTGACATGATGCTGATCAAATGCTCCCCACTTCTGGATGATATTTGCTAGTCAAATTTCTTTTCTGAAAAAAACATTGTAATAAAAATTACTGACAATGTTGTTCTACAGCACTATACCCCGCAGCATACACCAAACACCACCTTTCACAGTAAATACTGGAAGTGTTACACACAGGCAGATTGAAAAGCAGCTCTACTTGGACACAGAATTTCTTCGCTCCTGGGTACAAGGTTTTGGGGTTTTGTTGTTGCGACTGTATTAAAATCTGGCTGCGACCTTTTGGCTCGAGGATGACACTCATCAAAACCAAGCCAGCATGGCTCATCAGGTCTAGGGAGGTTTTAGTTTTCTTGAGCTTTCCTCAAGACTGATGTGTAAAACGCCCACAAATCAGGACAAGAAGCAAAACCATGTTAAACCCCACAAGTCACCGGGCTAGACCTTGTCGACAGGTAAGTTAGGCTTGAGAAAAAAACTAAACCAAGTATCATCATGTGGACAGTTACACGGTCCGGTTTTATAAATGGACTTTATGGACTTCTCTAAGAGAAGTCTTGTTAGCAAAGTATTTATCTGGAACAAACTCATTATACATCTCACGGCTTACATATATATATATAAAATATCTGCAGGTGAAATGGAGTTACCTATAAAAAAGTAAAGAATTCCAACAACCTGACAGGCCAATTAAGACCTGAAGAGACTCGCTGAGCTGAATTAGGTCAGAGCAGAAAGCATTTCAAAAGAAAAAAAATCTGTGTTGTTCACAGACAAGCAGCTTGAATTCTACAGATGTTATTTTGAAAGCTGTGACTTGCTGCATATTGACTTACTCTTTTACATGACAAATGTTCAACTACGACTAGGCACGGAGAGGGCACAGTATATGTGTTCCAACAGCTCTTAATCACAATCTCACCGAAACAAAGTCAGATCAGAGGAGCAGAGCTTCACATTTCTTAGACTTGTTCTACCCTTAAGCAAATTAAACATTTGCTTTAAATATATATTTTTTTAAAAAAAATCGAATTAACCAAGACTTCGTCCCCGTTGACATTACATTCTCCAACGCACATATTTTTTAATCCTCACAGCACTAATTAGAACTAGGAAAAGGCAAAACAAGTTTTTGGGTGCTGAGACTACTAGAAGCAGCGTCTTCAGCAAGGTCATCGGGACGAACTAAGCTGCCCAAACTCAGTCTGATGGACAGACTTTACAATACGCCTACTCTAAAAAAAAAGCTGGTTTTCTAGAGTTAAGTAACAGATAAGCTGGAGTGGAAGGGCCTTTTGTTTTGCCTTTAAGGTGACATCTTAATGGATTTTAGCATACAATGCTGTTTCTCCCCTCTTCCCTCAGTACTGGGCAATTATTTAGAAAGTCAGAGACTAACCCAGTGTTTGACTCCCTTGTACAGCATTCCACACCCAGCGAGAGCTTCGCCTCTCCCTCATTTAGCATTCTCAGGTAGCAAATTAAAAAAGTAAACTTCCTACTGCACAGAGGGGATAAATCCAGTGCCCTAGAGCTCAGGGGACATCCCAAGAGCAGGTGACCGATACCTTCGTGCTTGGTCCAACACCACTCTCAAAAAGCAAGAGCACCTGACTCCAGCTGTTAGGGCTACACAGGGCAATGGACCCCAACACATCACCAATGCTTTGCAAGACCAAGAAAGAATTTTAAGGTATTGTTCTGAAGGGTGCCACTGTCCTCATTTGCTGCAGAGAGGAAAGCAGGACATACATGTCTGCCACAGAATCTGCTTAATTGGATGAGCTGACAAAATTTGCTTATTCTGACAATTTCTGCCCTAAGCCCACCTCAAGTGCTCCATTTCCTTTTAAAGAAAGTGGATCCCACTTTACTGAAATACCCCTGGCCCCATTTGCTTTCTAAACCCAGGAACTTTTCTGTAATCAGTAACATTTATGACATAGATCTGACCGCAGACCGAGTTCCACGTTAGCGCTGCAATTTCGACTCCAGCCACATCTCTCAGAGACAAACTGAATTAAGACCTCTAAGTTTTAATAAGACAGCAAGAGGAGCAAGCTGAAACAAAAGGGAAGTCACTGGAGTGCAGTTTCTTCCGAAGAGAGATCTAGCTTTCAACTACACTTAAAAAAAATTGGTCCATGCATTACCCTGACGTGAAAGCCACGGTAACGTTTGCTGCTGACTGGGTCAAATACACACTATATAAATGCAGCACAGTTTTAAATAAGCAATACAACATTTTTAGAACACTTCGGTTTCACTCAGTTGGAAGGCCACTGAAATAAAAAAAAAAAAAACCACACAGCAAGGAAGAGTGCCCAGAAAGGACACCTGGTTAATTGCTGCTTCCTCTAATTATTCATTCACAGGAGGCAGGAATATGAAATCCTACTACTAACTGGTAAGAAAGAAAATAACAATCAATACAAATGGCAGACTTACAAAAGAGAGTGACTTCAGAGAGTAATCTACTTAATTACTTCAGGTTAAACATTCCATAAGGACACTGTTCTTTATACTCACTCAGTTGCAGCTACTTTTTGCATTTTTTCCCTTTTCTTTGCAGACCAGTTGAGATCACCACCTGCAACAGAAGTAATACACACTTTGAAACTTTTAAATTTGGTCTTTTTGTATTGTATCTTTGATATCATACCTCACTCAGAGCACTTGACAAAAGGAATCAGTGCAGTAATTTTCTAAAAGTAGAAACTGAGGTAAAGAGAAAGAGCAACGTGTTCATGATCATCCCAGCAAGGAAAAATCAGGAGCCAAACAGCTCTCAAACCTGATCCAGTTTTCCACTGAGTAACAATGACGTTTCTCTACAATTCAAAACGCCCCATGAAACTAAAGAAAGGGGAAGCAATTTTGAAAGAAACAAATTAGTGTCCCTTCCAGATCTTTCAGTACTTAATTCTTAAAAAAACAGTCAAAAAACACTGCTATTGGAAGGAAAGTCCACAGAATTAAGTTTTTATATTTGCAGATACACATACAGTCAGGTTTGACACGCAGTTTAGAAAAAGCTGCAGGATATCCTACACATTTGTACAAGTCAGCTGAAGGGACAGGTACTACTGCCCTGCTGATGAGATTTAACATCACACGCTACAGCATCTACACAAATGATGTTACAAGGACAGGCCTCATCGAGAGATGCTCCTGGTACCGAAGCCACGAGCTACAGCACCTGACACAGGACCCTACACCCCACCTGTAAACAGTCCAGCTCAGTAACTTCAAGAATTAAGATAAAAACAAACACCAAGAGGAGCTGAAAACACTTACCAGTGAGATGATTCACAAAATACAGCATGACTACAGCTATTAGTGACACTAAAAAAAAAGAACAGTTTTAGCTGACAATAAATTTATAACAATGACAGAACATCAGCTTTATATACAGCCAAACACCAACCCAGATTTTTCATTCTAATTGTAACTGAGGGGAGATTTTTGCCAGCAGCAGCTCTTAATTGCTTTTGAAAAAATCTCATTATGCTCTCTGGTAACTCAGAAAAGGTTATTTTAGTTATATTAGTAACAGCCCTCAAACACGGCCTTTAACTGTTTCATTCACCCAACCTTTTGCTCATTCTTCTTTTTTTTTTTTTCGAAACACTGAAATTACTTACACTAAAATTGCTTCAAAGAAAACCACAACACACTTCACAGGTTAAAGTTGCTTTCAACACTACCCCAGTTGAAACCTCTAAGAAATAAATTACTACTGTTTTACAGGAAATATTAAGAAAAAAACCCTGATAAAAGCCTCCTGAATGCACAGAATCCACTTCTAATGTTTTTAATACTTACAGCAGACACAAGCACTGAAGAAGACTTCAAGAAACAAGTATCCTCTTGTGTCCAGAATCATCCCAGCTGCTATCGCAATGATTGCCAGACCAAGATTCTGGATAGACTGCATACTAACACACAAAACAAAGGATTACCACTGCGCAGAAATTTATTTTTCGAGAAAACACCATTAGCAGCACTGAACAAACGACGAGATTCACTTCTCCCCATTTGTTATGGCATATGACAGAGTCACAATTCCAGAGTTTTGCAGCAGTTTCTGTGCACTGACCACAGCCACGTGCTCTACCCCACGGAGATCCTGAAACTACACGAGGCTTCCTGCTAGACTTGGAGGAAGGAGTCACCGCGAAGGTGTTAAACTGCTTGATGCTCAGTGGTTCAACAGCATCAGGCCACAGTCACTGTAGAGCAGCACAGAGAGGCAGATTTAAGTACTTACAAGCCATAAGCAGTCCCCAGCTGGTGTTCTGGAACAACAAAGGCCACCATGGGCCACAGGGCACAGGCAAGCAAAGAGTAAGCCACTCCCAGCAAACACTGGTGAAATCAGAACGAGTAAACATCTGTTAGGTGAGATGCATTTCTGCTGGAAACGTCTAATAAATGAGCATATTGGTTTTCCCCTTCTCCCAAAAGAGGAAAAAAAAAAAAAAAAAAGAGCTAAAGTAACACTTTTTGCAATATCATTCTAAATAAATATGCACATTTAGGAGAGGGAACTTCTTCCAAGAGTGACCCACAAACTAAACCCTATCTAAGGAAGAGCCTGACTTGCATACCCAGAGGAACAGATCAATGCTGCAACTCACTAGAAAGATAAACAAAAATCAAGGAGCCCATTTTTAAACCCTGATATATTGGTGAGCACCATATGTGGTCTGTGAACCTGAGTTCAAAAGCAACTTCTCGGGGAATCTGCCCTAGGAATGGGATCAGTAACAAAGATTTTTACCACTATCCAACACAGCACCTTAGAGACAGTTTAAGTAATAGTAATAAGCTTCAGAACAACACTGAAAAAACAAGTTTTAGGAGAAAACCAAGCACCCAGCACAGTAATCTAGCTAGCGTAAGGTGTGTCTATGAAGCACGAGAGCAAACCTCTGCCACAGAGCACCACCGAACCCGCAGACACTGCGAAGGGACAAGGAATCACCACTCCAGACAACCCTCTGGTCTAACCCCACCCTTCCCCAGTTGCCGAACACCCTTCTGCACTAAGCAATTACAGAATTACTGCTACAGACAGCAGCAGCCAGTCTTTTCCGCCTCAAAAAGACACCTGCACAGCTGCTGCCTCCCTCCACGAGACACCAAAGCCTGAAGCGTTATCTTTAGTCTGCAGATAGCTCGTGTCAGCTTTGCCTGTTTTATGAGTTTTTTTTGCTTTTTCACCATCTTTAGCTTTAAACTCAGTTTCAAACAGTATTACAGGGATCTCAAAATCAGTTTTGAGGACTACGTAAACAGTCGGAAGACAGCGGCAACCTACGCAGAATAATTCAGCATCAACCCTATCTCTTATTTTATCCTATTTAGCTACACACTTCAGAGAATTAGTTACCATTGCTATCCAGGGATTCCAGAAGGTAAAAGCCAACATAACGTGAGAAGCAAGTGTAGTTATTACAGCACATAAAACCCAGATGATATTCTTTCCAAGTTTATCCACCAGGAGTCCGAAGACTGGGGACATGGGTACCGATATGATATACACAATACTACAAAAGAACAAAAATAAGAGAACTGAACACTATACAGGCATGGATGGCTTTAGGCATTACACAATACAAGTGTCTCCAGATGAAACAACATGTTCCCTTCTTACCTGTGAGGCCGTAAGAAAAATTACACAAAAAACCTTCCAAACAATAGATGTCAGAGCTCAAAATTCCCAAAAATGTCCAAGGACATGAAAACAATCGACATCCAAGGAAATAGTGACATAATTCTGGAATCATATACCAACAAGTGCTCTGTTGTTGGGTTTTATTTTTTTAATTTTTTTTTTCTCCACAAATTCATCTCCAAACTAGGAACATTTAGTTCATTTAATGTTGCTATTAAACTGCTTTTATCACTAAGAAAAGAATCACTAACACCAAAATAATATCCTTCAGACAGAACCTTTTCTTTCCAAATCCTCAAAGTGAATATCTAAGACATACTTATTAAAAAATTACCCACACCTCCCAGTTATCCCTTGGGCCACGTGAAATCCATCTATCCTCTGCAACAGTAGCTCCCGGACCTCCTCCCACACAGTCCAAGCCCAAAGATACACACACCCCCCCTAGAACAGAGCAGAAGCACATTTACTTGGTAAATCAACCACAACGTACCTGTTAATTGCACTGGCTTCTTGAGATGAGAACTTGAATTTCTCAATGAAGAATACCCTAAAGAAAACCAAAACTGGTTTAGAAGAACGCACACGTGTATGACATGAAAGAAAAATTAAGCTAAACAAAGGAAAGACACAAGAACTTAGTTTACAGGAAACTCTTAAATATATCTCTATAGCTTTGAGACAACATCCCATCACAGATCCTCATTTATAATGCATTTAGGAGCTCATTAGCACATTTCTGTCTGAGGATTATTCAAACTACACTCTGGGGAAAACATCCCCAGTACATAACCAACATGTAAGGTGATAGTGAGACATTAGCAATGAGTACACTGTAAGAGACCAGAGTAAGAATTTTTAGAATAGGTGCACAAACAAAAAAAAAATAAAATCAGCACATGCACTGCTGACTGTCTGTCAGGTCCCTCCAAGTCATCTCAGACTTTTCCACCTCACTCAACACATGCATTGAGCTCAAGAGACCTGTTTCTAATTCCCAGTCTATTCAAAACCCATTTCACTTGAGCTATTAGACCATCTGTTTCAAAAGGGAAGCCTACGTAGGAATGCTTCAAGTTTCAACCTGACACACACCAAAAATCAGTGCAGTAAGAGAACTTCAGTCCCAAGGTGTCACGACATTTAAGCCCCCACCTGACGCTCAGTCAATAGCTGATGAGTACAGAAGGAATTCAAACTCATGCCACACTTTAAGCCTGCATCAAGTTTGAAATCAGGACATGGAAGCGTGCATTATGCTTGTGAGTCCTGCTCAGTCCATGTTAAGCGAGGGTATTTCTCACAAAGCTCAGCAGATAAGGAAACTAAAGTTGTGGTTATTTGTATCACAAGTACAGAGAACAACGGCACAGAAGAAACAACAAACCACAGCACGGACTTGCTGGGCAAGCAGGAACCATCTGGAATTCTTAACTATCAGCCTGCACCTCTCCCTTTGTGAGTAGCTAGCTAAAACCCTAACCAGATTCAGCTGAAACAGCTACAGAAGCAAGAGGCACTTACTTCCCAAGTCCAATGAAGGGAAAAACTGCTGCATAGTAACAGACACAGATTACAAATATGAGCCACAAGGACAAAGAGAAGTCCTTCACATCAGTTAGCTTAATCACTTCACCTGGAGTGGGACAAGAGACAATATTGTTTCAGTCAGCATAAGCACACCTGAAATCCATCCAGACTGAATAAACATTAAGGTGATTGCAAGTCACTACTAAAGCGTATATTCCTGCCACCTGTCTACTCTCTTGTTTAAAGTTTACACAGTAGGAGTCAGTTAAGAATATACAAGTCCTAAATCAACAGTGCTAAAGCCAAGAACAAACTTCCTCCCACACAAAGCTGGATGTACCAGTTCTCTAAAGCCTCTGAAAGTCTTACGCAGCGCAATTAAATACAAAGCATTTTTGTCAAGGAAATGTTTAATCAGCCAGCAAAATTCATGGCTGAAGCTTTATGCTATATGCTCTTACCTGGATCTCAAATTGAGTTCATTTTTAATTGGTCTAAGTTCTCCTACATGGAAAACTCAAAACACCACACACACTGATGGAGAAGAGCTGCATGTTTTTACACACCTATTAATGGAAATAAGACCGATTCCAATAAAAAGTACCAGTGGCAATGGCACAGACCAGATAGGTGTGAACTGGAGGCTCTCCAGAACTGGAAGGCTCTCCACATGCTTTCTAAATAAAGCAGATGACAGCACATCTGCCTCTAAACTGGTGTTTAAAACTGTAAAACTTCCTACTGATTTAAAAATTACAAATTAAAGCTGTAACTGTGAAAAAGACAAAGTAGCAGCCAGCAAATTACTTCAAATGCAAACCTGCACAGAGGAACTGAAGGGGTCTGTTCCAGAACGAAAGAATGAAGCCCCAGGCAGGTTCAGCCACACCACTCACCCGTTTTTCCTTGCTCTTTACAGAGGAGCTTCTCCGCTCTCTTGTCCAGATAAGCCAGGATTAACGCACAGCCCAGTGAAAAGAGACATGTTAGGCCACCTGCAATAAGGCAACAAGTTTACATGTTTAGTTGAGTCAAGTAATAGTTTAGCTTTTAAGCACAACTAGTGTAGTGTACCTTTACATAGCTAATAAGTTTAACACCAGCTTGTCTTATCTATAAGACTCAACAGCTGTACAACTCAAAGAATAGGTGTAAATACTGGTAAAGGTAAAAGAGGTGTAAATACTGAAGCCTGCCACATGAGAGATCTGCCCTGAACTGGAGTACAAACACGTAGCCACATTTATTTTATTTAAAGCACTAACCACTGCTCCCACTCAGCACAGCCAAGCTCCTTATCTGCACCTCTTAACACCACAAATAAAGCCTGGGCCTCGTTACCAGGGCCAGGGCCTTAATCCCCACAGCTCTGAAGGAAAAGATCACAGGTCCAAAGGTAGCTGAAATTTCACTTTTCCACATCAGACATCTGCACACAGTTTGACGTGATACCCTTCAGATGCCCTTTACACAAAGTACATTAAACATTTCATCTCCGTAAGATACAAACTTCAACTTGGAAGCCACAAAAAAAATTAAAAAATTCAAAAAAAATTTAAAAAAAAAAATCACACAGCGTTTTATCAGATGCAGTAATCACGCACTCTGCACAAGGATATTAGCCATTGATACAAACAGTATTTGAATTCCTCTTCCTAGTCTCAAATACATTTGCTCTACTTTCAGGTTAGTAAGAAATCATTAACGTGTAAGCACACTGTCCAAATTCAGACAGCAAGTGACACCAATTGAAAATATTACTGACCTATCATAAGAGTTAACCCAAGAGTACTGGGACCAGTATAGCCCAGAAGATCTCGAACTCTAGAGTATATCCATCCCATGATATTCATGTTCACTGTGCTCCCCTAGGCAGAACAAACTCATGTGAAGAATAAAGTATTTCACAACAACACAAATTCAAAAGGAACATTAGGCAGCCTGCTTACTGAACAGTGTTTAAAACAAACAGGTTAAGATGCTACACAGGGGAACACAAACCACCAGCAACAACGACACAATTATTCCCTGCTGGTTTGGTCAGTGTTTGTAATAAATTATAATAAATTAACCATTGCAACAGTAACACGCTGTCACAAACTGAAAGCTTCTACATTAACAGTGTTTTGATGGAGACATCAGGAGTGCCACAAAATTCACTCAGACACCAAGTTGAATTGAATAGCGAATGTTAAAGCCCACAGGATTCCCACCTGACGGGTGTCAGGAGGATGCACTTTTTTTTTTGCTCCCCCCTTCTGCCCCTGGAGAAGGGATCCATGGCTGCAATCCCAAGGCTAACAACAGACAGTAACCACAGCTCAGCTGAGCCAACTGCTCATTGGCAACAGCCTGAACACCAGCCCGGAGCCAGCTGTGACCAGCTCACTCTTTTTTTCCCCCCCAAGGTGAATGCCTGCAGTGGTTTAAGATACCACAGGCTGCTGAAGGGCACCTAACAGCCTGGTCTATCAGTGTAAACCCACCTCTAGCAGCAGTTTAGGGGATTGTATCAAACCAGAACCCCCACAGCTGAGATAAAACCACCTTACAACAGCAGGTAAGGACAGGAGTTTCTTAAAGCAGCCATCCCAGCTCATTGATCAGAGCCTGCCCTTAGTCCCTGAGCCACAAGCCACACTCCGTTAAACCAACTTCTTATGATACACCAAGAATCAATCAGTCCGATGAAATGCAGCACTGTGACTATCCTAATCCATGCTAGTAACACCACCAGGCTCCTGCAGAAGTTTGACAGGTTCGAAATAATCTCATTCACCCATTTCATTGCATAACCTTTGTGTATTTACCACAAATTTTTAGCATTCTAAAGTTAAATTTCACATCCGTTTTTAACTAAAACTCCCTAGGGAGCATGAGAAGCAGTTTTCCACCTGTCTCCCTGCCAAGACAAGCCACACACCTTAAAGTCTGTGAATTAAGGCTACACAGTTTTATACTTACAATTCTGGCCATGCTTAGTTGTAATCCAAACACAAGATTTAACTCCTTGCCTTTAAACCAACTGACTGCATACGTGTTCTGTGCCACCGCTAAGGACTCGCCGCCTATTCTAAAAGAGAAGGAAGGCGCAGAAGAAAACACATTAATTGCAACATGCAAAGCAACAAGGAAGCAGTCCATCAGCTGCTGGCAATACCCAGATGACAGTATTTCAGAGAAATTTATCCGCGTACAGGTGGATTTAAGGCATATATACAAGGCAACAGAAGTCTTAAAGATAACTCAAATGAGCGTCTTAAGAATAATTAAGAATACAAGGTATCTTAAATAATCTAGGAGCAATTATAATTGCCTTTGGTCATTTATAGAAATTAAATCAATGAGCAGCAACTTCTCGTTTCTCTTCTGCATTAAAGCACCAAGTGGTATAGATCCTCACCCACATGAAACCAAAAGTGGGCACCTTACCTGGAGCTGGAATTTAATGGACATCTGCCCACCCCCCAATACAGCCAGTCAGGCTTTGCAACGTTTTTGTGCTGTGGAATATTCATAATTTGGAGGTATTTCTTCTGACAACTGCCCTCATTTTTTGCCACCATAGGAGCCCTGTTGTACTTGTTGCTAACAACTTTTTTTACTCAGGAAAATAAGAATTAAGAGGAAAACTAACACAGTTTTATGAGGTTACTGAATGTCTTTATTTGGGTAGTTTCACAATTTCTGAATTCGGTAAGACCTGCAAGTCCTGGGTTTTGTCTTCTAACTTTAAGTTAGACTGGGAATGGGACTGAAGATCTCGCATGCCTTGACATCCAACAATTCTGTCTCTGCAAACACAACAGTTTTCTAGGACAGAGAAAACCAGACCTCACCTCAGAGAGCACATAATGTACTCCTCTACACTTACCCAAATATGAATCTGCCCATGTCCATCAGCCAGAAAGTATTAAGTAGTGCTCCCAAAGCAAATATTACCTGCCAAACAAACATTTAAGGAAACGTTATTTTATATTTGAAGTATGGGACAAACTAGAAGCATCTCAAAACAGAAACAAAACTGATTTTCCCTTCCCAGACCTACAGAAGTACTCCACAGCCACCTCATACTCATGGCTTTTTGGTTTTTCTCCCTCTGCTTTATTCGTGAGTATCCAACCCATCCCACCCTGAAACTGCACCCAGAAAACAGCTCCAGTCATGCTTCACCTTTACCACCATACCCTACCCAAATACTCCTAACACAGTAGTTTCACATCAGTTTCTTCACATTTTATTCCACTCATCTTTCAAGGTTCTCTGTTCCCAGTTACCCCATTTGTTCCCAACTACCGCAATAAAATTCAAGATTCTCCCATTTCAGTTCTCTCCACCCCCCTACTCCCATTTGAAATCTCCCTTTATTATACAAAGAGCTATTTGGGCTTTTTTTTCCCCCACAGAGAAACTTCAGACACATCATCCTTAACCCTCCCATCTGCACTTACCTGCCCGACACAAACAAAGATACTAAATATTACAGTGCCCAACCTGTAAGACAAAGAAAATCACTTAATGCACAACCAAACTCTTTTTTCCCCTATAAAACACTATATTAGACCTACAGCAAGGAAACAAGGGGAGGTTACTATGCAGTAAAAGGTGTCTGGAATAAATGCTATGGCTTGACAGATTCCTTAAGAAAAGCTAGTACCAGGCTGGCATTTTTGAAGCCACTTTAAGTCATAAAGGAAACAAAAGGAAGCTCATTTATAGCAGTAAATTCAAGATCATGTAGAAAAAAAAATTGAAAAGGCCTGTAATAATTTGGAAAAAAAAAAGTATATTATAAAGCCTGTACTTCACACGCACTTTAAGTGTACCACCCATCGAACACGAGCAACACGAACATCACTCACCGTATTCCAAAAACTCTGTCTATCAGAAAACCTCCAAAGAAGCAAAGAACCACATTGGGCCAGGAATACCAGGCGTAGAGCGCCATAAACTGAGCCGTGTTCACCTTCATGTCCTACATGCATAAGGGGGGAATTAAAGAGTAATTACTCCTCAAGCAACTACAGGGGGCACAGAATAAGTAGCCAAGTAGAACTACTTAGGAAGAAGTACACCCCCCGCTCCGCCCGTAACGTCGCTCCTGCCCATGGCAGCTACTCACCCGCTGCACCTGCGTCTGGAGAGCCGCCGGGTTGTCGTAGCAGAAGCAGCTGCCTGCAAGGAGAAGGGGACGCCTCAGCGCTCTGCTCTGCCTGTCTCTTATACACA